TATTATTATTATTATTATTATTATTATTATTATTATTATTATTATTATTATTATTATTATTACTATTATTATTATTATTATAACATCAACCTGTGTTTTTTTAATATTAAACACTAGGTATCGATGCTAAACCTTCAGAAACCTTTACAATACTCAATAAATAGTGCTCAGTAAACAGCACTCAGTAAACAAAGCTCAGTTAAGACCGCTCAGCAAACAAGCGGAGAGAGAGAGAGAGAGAGAGAGAGAGAGAGAGAGAGAGAGAGAGAGAGAGAGAGAGAGAGAGAGAGAGAGAGAGAGAGAGAGAGAGAGAGAGAGAGAGAGAGAGAGAGAGAGAGAGAGAGAGAGAGAGAGAGAGGGGGAGGGGCCACACATTAACAATGCTAACCAGCATATATACATTTTCTTCTGTCCTCCATGGACAGGGTGAGCGATCTGTTAAACATATAATTCAGTGATTTATTGAACAATCAATCAACAAGGTGATTGTAGTGCTTTTAAAATGCTAAGCTAACCTACAGACATATATACACAGATTTGCACTTGGTGTCTGAGGTAAAAGTGATGCAAGTTTTTTGAAGGAGTTGGGGTCTAAGCTAATTTATTTATTTATTTATTTATTTATATATATACAAGAAGGTACATTGGGTTTGTGAGAATACATTGGATAGTACAGTATTTACATTCTTGTAAAGCCACTAGTACGCGCAGCGTTTCGGGCAGGTCCTTAATCTAGCAGATAATTTTGAGTAGGTAATTTCAATCAGAATTGATAAATGATAAAGATACATTACAAGAGAAAAATGAGATGAGAGAGATAAGTAGGTATATTAAAGCATATTGTTATATTAAAGCTCTGATTGATTACATTGACAGCTTGATTAGTAATTTAAAAAGGTTAATAGACACCATACAGCAGATTGACAGCACATATAAGACAGCAATGATCACAATGGTAAAGATGTTCAGATTGGGTACATAAAGATTGGGAGACTGGGTAGCAAAAGATACTTGAAACAACTAGAGACCCTAGAGCCGCCAGTTTTATCTTTCAGCGCCTTAGTGTGGCGATCCAGAGAGGAAATGCTCACTGCATCCATGGTTCCTGCCCGCCATCTGAGGAGCTGGAGGAGCCATACAACTTGTGACAAGTAGCCTTGTACCCTGCATTTAACCAATGTTGTAACCCCCCTTTTTGTGTAATAATATTTTAAAATAAAGTTGGATATATATACACACACATACCAAAAGAATAGGGGTGGTAGGAGAAGAAAATATCAAGAGTGTTCAGTGAGGATCCACAAGGTCTTCTCTGGGTACTCTTTATTTTCTTCTCCGAGGCTATGGGTCCCTACACTTGCACCAGAGGTGGTACCCCTTTTATGATTTACGTCTGTCCTACATAAACAGTGTTATAGGTGTCTTTTTACATAGCGTCATTAATGTGCGTTTACAAAGGTGAAATGTAATTCTGACCAGCTTCCTGTATACAAATACACACATGTTACACATACACATATCCACACACACAACACACGCACACACACACACACACACACACACACACACACACACACACACACACACACACACACACACACACACACACACACACACACAGACCCCTGGTGAAAGGGGGAACTCTGACACCCGAGTTTCCAAGAAGAGTCTCAAGGTTTGGTACACCAATGCTGATGGGGTAGCCAATAAAGCAGAAGAGATAAAAGAAAGAGTTAGTGAGGCAGACCCAGACATAGTGGCAATAGTGGAAACTAAAATAAATGGCATGATCTCGGATGCAATCTTTCCAGAGGGGTACCAGGTGATAAGAAAAGAAAGGACACAGAGACAGGGAGGAGGAGTGGCACTACTAATAAAGCGGAAATGGAAGTTTGATGAGCTGGAAAATCCGGGTACCAATGAAAGCACAAGCTTCATACATGGAACTCTGACAGTGGATGGGAAGAAGATTGTAATCTTGATACTCTACAATCCCCCACCAAACAGTAGAAGGCCCAGGCAGGAGTACGAGGACAGCAACAAGACATGTATGGATGAACTGCAGAGGGCAGCAACTTTAGCGCATAGAATGAGAGCGAAGCTGCTGGTCATGGGGGACCTAAATCACGGAGAGATAGATTGGGAAACGAGGAATCCCCATGGCGGGGAGGAGACCTGGGGAGCGAAGCTGGTAGACGTTATTGACAGGAATTTCCTAACACAGCATGTGAAAGAAGATACTAGGGAAAGAGGAGGGGATACGCCCAGCCTATTAGATCTCATTATCACTCAGAATGTAGAAGACATCGAGCAGTTGGAACATGAAATACCACTAGGAGCTAGTGACCATTGTGTCCTAGCCTTTGACTACATGATGGAGCTTAAAATTGTGACCAAAGGACAAGAGGTCCGGGAAAGGAGACTTGATTACAGAAAAGGGGACTACAGAAGGATAAGGGACTACCTGGGAGAAGTGCAGTGGGAGGAAGAACTTAGAGGAAAAACAGTGCAAGGTATGATGAACCAAGTCATATTGAAATGCAAGGAGGCTGAAGATAGATTTATTCCAACAATAAAGGAAAAAAGCAGGAGGGAATATAATAACCCATGGTTTAATAGACAGTGTCAGGAAGCAAAGGTGAGAAGCAGGAGGGAGTGGAGGAAGTACAGAAGGCAAAGGACAGAGGACAACAGGATTAGATGTAACAGAGCTAGGAATGATTACATTAACATAAGACGAGTGTCGGAAAGAAATTATGAGAACGATATTGCAGTCAAAGCGAAAAAGCAACCAAAATTACTACATAGCCATATAAGAAGGAAGATGTCGGTAAATGACCAAGTGACAAGACTGAGGAAAACAGAAGGGGCATATACAGAAAGCGACAAGGAAATCTGCGAGGTACTGAATGCAAAATTCCATGGAGTGTTCACTACCGAGCCTGAGCAGCTCCCATTGTTAGAAGAGATTACCCAAGATGAAAGACTATCAGATATAGAGGTGACAGCAGAGGATGTAATGAAACAGTTGACAACACTGGATGCAAATAAAGCTGTTGGACCAGACAAAGTATCACCGTGGATACTTAAAGAGGCAGCGCAGGCTCTCAGCGTGCCTCTGGCAATGATCTTCAATGAGTCACTTATGTCGGGAGAATTGCCCAGTTGCTGGAAGGAGGCAAATGTCGTACCGATTTTCAAAAAGGGGGATAGGGAGGAGGCACTTAACTACAGACCCGTATCACTGACAAGCATCCCCTGCAAAATACTTGAAAGAATAATTAGGCTAAGACTTGTTGAGCACCTGGAGAGCATTGGGTTTGTAAACAAGCACCAACATGGGTTCTGGACAGGGAAATCATGCCTAACAAACCTTTTAGAATTCTATGATAAAGTAACAAGGATAAGGCAGGACAGAGAAGGCTGGGCAGACTGCATATTTCTTGACTGCCAAAAGGCCTTTGATACGGTACCGCACATGAGAGTGCTATACAAACTTGAGAGGCAGGCAGGAGTAAGCGGAAAGGCCCTAGTATGGGTGAAGAACTACCTAACAGGAAGGAGCCAGAGGGTAATGGTAAGGGGCGAAAAGTCGGACTGGCGAACAGTAACAAGTGGAGTACCTCAAGGATCGGTGCTGGGACCAATCCTCTTTCTAATTTACGTAAATGATATGTTTACAGGAGTGGAATCATACATGTCGATGTTTGCAGATGACGCAAAATTAATGAGAAGAGTTGTGACAGACGAGGATTGTAGGATCCTCCAAGAGGACTTAAACAGGCTGCAGAGATGGTCAGAGAAATGGCTACTGGAGTTTAACACCAGTAAATGTAAAGTTATGGAAATGGGATCAGGTGACAGGAGACCAAAGGGACAGTACACAATGAAGGGGAACAGCCTACCTGTAACGATTCGAGAAAGAGACCTGGGAGTGGATGTGACACCTAATCTAACTCCTGAGGCACATATAAATAGGATAACGACAGCAGCGTACTCTACACTGGCGAAAATTAGAACTTCATTCAGAAACCTAAATGAGGAAGCTTTTAGGGCGCTTTACACTGCCTACGTGAGACCCGTCTTAGAGTATGCCGCGCCATCATGGAGCCCCCACCTGAAGAAACACATAAAGAAACTGGAGAAGGTTCAGAGGTTTGCGACGAGGCTTGTCCCAGAGCTACGAGGGATGGGATATGAAGAGCGGCTGAAGGAACTGAACCTTACGACACTAGAGAAAAGAAGGGAGAGAGGAGATATGATAGGGACATATAAAATACTCAGGGGAATTGACAAAGTGGAAATAGATCAAATGTTCACACGTAATAATAACAGAACGAGGGGACATGGGTGGAAACTGGAAACTCAGATGAGTCACAGAGATGTTAGGAAGTTTTCTTTTAGCGTGAGAGTAGTAGAAAAATGGAATGCACTTGGGGAACAGGTTGTGGAAGCAAATACTATTCATACTTTTAAAACTAGGTATGATAGGGAAATGGGACAGGAGTCATTGCTGTAAACAACCGATAGCTAGAAAGGCGGGATCCAAGAGTCAATGCTCGATCCTGCAAGCACATATAGGTGAGTACATATAGGTGAGTACACACACACACACACACACACACACACACACACACACACACACACACACACATACACACACACACACACACACACATATATATATATATATATATATATATATATATATATATATATATATATATATATATATATATAAATGCACACCTATATCTCTCCTAAATTGACAGGATAAGATTGCGTCTATAGAAACTATTTGAAACTAGTATGATACTAAACACTTAACCACTGAAAGTGATTAAGATGCTTCTACAAACTCCCGTTACAGGTACAGGCATTGTATAACAGATGCATCACACAGTGTATAGCTACAATACATTGTATTAGAGATGTATAATGAGAGTGCGCGCGAGAGTGGAGGTTCAAACTTGGCGCCGCTCCCCACTACCTGTGCTGGGGCTCAGCTGGTCGTGACGTCACCGCCACAGTTCTGGATTTCTAGAGAATCTGGTCAAGGGGGGATATAATTTTGTATCGTAAAAATCCTTATGATATATGCTTAATCTAGAGACCATTGACGGCTGTGGAGCTTGAATAGCATCAATAAATTAACGTAAGATCACTCTTGTGGTGAGATATCCCGGAATAAGGGAGGATAACCTAACGGAAAGAGAGGCAAGGGTCGGAGGAGGACCGCCGTCGGTTATCGCCGTCGCCATTGGTGCCGAGATCCTAATATTTCAGCAGTAAGGTAAGCCGCTCCCCGTGTGCCTGCGGGCCGTGCTCGCTCGTCTCCCCGGAGTGCCATATTGGCGGGGGTGAGTGTGTGGGGGCGCCAGGTGGCCCGGGTGTGGCGGAGGGCCCTGGTGTGGGGCCCATAGCTGTGAGTGTCGGGCCCTCACCGCGGGCCCTCGCCATGGGGGGGCCTCACACACTCGCCTCTCACCACCCTGTGTGTGTCCAGTCAGTAGCAGGTTGGCAGGTTTGTGTAATTAAAGTACTTTCACTCTTGTGGGAATATTGTAGGCGGCGGTATAGGCCTATGGGCCGCCTCTTGTGTTGCTCTTGTTGTATTTATGTGTGTTGTTGTTGTATGTGTTTATGTATGTGTTGTATGGCTGGTGTATAGGTGTATATAGGCCATGTATCCCCCCCTACACACATGGCATGACACTAGTCACGTATATCTCAGCATTTTATACTCCAAGCCTAACCCACGCCAGGCTGGCCTAACCTAACCCACGCCAGGCCGGCCTAACCTAACCCACGCCAGGCCGGCCTAACCTAACCTAAGCCAGCCTAACCCACTCGAGGCCGGCCTAACCTAACCCACGCCAGGCCGGCCTAACCTAACCCACGCCAGGCCGGCCTAACCTAAGCCAGCCGAACCCACTCGAGGCCGGCCTAACCTAACCCACGCCAGGCCGGCCTAACCTAAGCCAGCCTAACCCCACTCGAGGCCGGCCTAACCTAAGCCAACCCAAGGCCACAATGCAGTAAGTTTAGGGAGGGAGTAAGATCGGTGTAGGTGTGAGGAGGCCGGAGTAGCGGAGGCTGTGTCTGCCCCTCGGCTCTATGAGGTCCGTCGAGGGGCTCGCTAAGCCGCACATAAATATAATACACCAATAAAATAACATTGTCATTTTAAAGAGTGGTGGGAAGACGGGACACCACGAGCGTAGCTCTCGTCCGGTGACTACACTTAGGTAATTATAACTACACAAGTATTGCTCATATTTTACATTTAACACATTCCAGTGGTAATGACTTGGTATATTGTGAGATATTATTATGTTTTGTCATATATATTATATATATTTATTTATTATGCTGATTGGGATCGTCTCAAAGCTCTCTAAATGTACTTGCTAGACAAGAGACGAGAGAGAACACTGGCGAGACCGACGGTCCCGTGCATAGTGTTCGCTGCGTCAGGGGGGGTGGAGGAGCTCTTTTAAGTTCATATTACAAAATAGTGCCATGATTCCAAAAAAGTGGGGAACCACTGATGGGTTTTTCCAGTTGGAAAATGAGCATTGTCAAAATGCCCTGTACAGTGTGAATGCATCATCTTGATGTTTTCTTGAGATGATTTTGGGGCTTAGTGTCCCTGCGGCCCGATCCTCGACCAGGCCTCCTTTTTGTTCCACATCCCCAGGAAGCAGCAACCCGTAGCAGCTGTCTAACTCCCAGGTACCTATTTACTGCTAGGTAACAGGGGGCATCAGGGTAAAAGAAACTGCCCATTTGTTTCCGCCTCCGCCGGGGATCGAACCCGGAACCTCAGGAGTATGACTCCGAAGTGCTGTACACTCAGCTGTCAGGCCCCCACCATACACAAACATGTGAAACAACTTTTAAACCTCAGTACGGTATTTGCAGGAACTTCTATATTTGCAGACGTTACTTATCACTTTGTCTAGCTGACGTGAACCACTGTATCTTTTATAATGCAGAAATAAACTGGCTTACTTGAATAGTTTACAGAATACAGTGCTCATTTTGTCTACTGTATATGTTGTATTTGTACACTGCTAGTAGACAATCTAATAATTAGTAATTCATTACACACAGAAATCACAATAGCGCGATGCATCAAATGAACAAATCCACAAGGGCTGTGACGAGGGTTCGAACCTACGTCCGAGAGGATGCCAGACGCTGCCTAAATCGACTTAGCAATCGACATGGTAAAAGAATTGCAACCGGGAAATCATCCTGACTTACCAACGGATCCTGCAGTCTCTCCGAGACACAAACCAGGGATTTATGCAGTTCCCCCATGCACTCGAGCTATGTCAATAGGCCGTTCTACCTCTTCGCCCTTACTTCATTACACTTTCATTCCTTTACCATGCCGTAGCTCAGTCGATTAAGGGAGCGTCTGGGATCCTCTGGGACGAAGGTTCGAACCCTCGTCACGGCCCTTGTGAATTTTTTCTAGTAATTCATTTTGTTAGCAACAAAATGCCTGCGTGTATGCACTTACCTAATTGTGCTTGTGGGGATTGAGCTTTTGGCTCTTTGGTCCCGATGTATGTAGCCTATGTATGTATGTATATACAGTATGTTAGGCTTGTCCCGATGTATGAAGCCTATGTATGTATATATGTTAGGCTTGTATTGAGGTCTTCAAAGGTTGAACTACAGACCCTTCCCAGGATGTAATACCACAGCCTAACTCCTGGGTACCTATTTACTGCAACGTGAACATAAGCATTAGATTAAAAGAAATGTGCCTAACATTTGTCTCACCTGGGAACTGGACCCAGGATCCCCAATTGCCTCGAACTAGCCTCGAACATGAGGTTAATTGCACTACAAGATCCTACATGTTTTATACATTATTAATGTATTAGTTGGGTATAGTCTGGTGTTTGTAAAGTTTGTAAGGTGCTGCCTGTTTTCAGCTTGGCCGGAGTTGTACTTTGGGTTTGCAACCGAACTCGTAGACCAATGTTGATTTTAGTTTGGAATGTGTGAAATATTAATTTCTGTGCACATATAAAACTTGCCATATATAAAATATGCAGGAGGAAATCAGACATTATGAACGAAATGCTCACTGCAACATGCCCACTGTGTCAAAAATGCCCACTCTGCAAAATACGGGATCAGGGCAGTACTATTTAAAGTACTGCCCTGATCCCGGTTTAGAATGATTCCGGTCACCTTGCACCCGAGATGGTTGGCTTCATTTTAAAACCTAAGCAAACCCATCCTCTCATTTTAAGAATTAGAAAATAAGCTCTATTGAAATGTGTGTAGGATTTGACTATACTAGTTCAGTACTTGTTTACGTGCCTTCGATCTTTTTTTTTTTTTTATAAATCTACATTTTGTCATAATCTGTCATTTTGCACGCATAAGTTATTATAATGACTTATAGGAGAGGTACTCGGTAGTGCCTGGAATAGTCACTCCCCTCTACCCCCCCCAATCCCACCCCCTTTCTTTTTCCTCTCCCCATCTTCTGCCCCTCTTATCCCCATCTTCTGCCCCCTCTTCTCCCCATCTTCTGCCACTCTTCTTCCCCCCTCTTCCTCCCTTTTCCCCACCTCCCCATCTTCTCCCCCCCCCCTTTTCCCATCTCTCATTTCCTGCTTTTCCCATATCCTGCACCCTCTCCCCTATTCTGCCCCCCCTCTTTCCCCCTATTCTGCCCCCTCTTTCCCCCTATTCTGCCCCCTTTTTCTGCCCCCCTCTTTCCCCCTTTTTCTGCCCCCCTCTTTCCCCCTTTTTCTGCCCCCCTCTTTCCCCCTTTTTCTGCCCCCCTCTTTCCCCCTTTTTCTGCCCCCCCTCTTTCCCCCCCTTTTTCTGCCCCCTCTTTTCCCCCTTTTTCTGCCCCCTCTTTTCCCCCTTTTTCTGCCCCCTCTTTTCCCCCTTTTTCTGCCCCCTCTTTTCCCCCTTTTTCTGCCCCCTCTTTTCCCCCTTTTTCTGCCCCCTCTTTCCCCCTTTTTCTGCCCCCTCTTTCCCCCTTTTTCTGTCCCTCTTTCCCCTTTTTCTGTCCCTCTTTCCCCCTTTTTCTGCCCCCTCCTTCCCTCTTTTTCTGCTCCCTCTTTTTCTACCCCCTCTTTCCCCCTTTTCTGCCCCCTCTTTCCCCCTTTTCTGCCCCCTCTTTCCCCCTTTTCTGCCCCCTCTTTCCCCCTTTTCTGCCCCCTCCTTCCCCCTTTTCTGCCCCCCTCCTTCCCCCTTTTCTGCCCCCCTCCTTCCCCCTTTTCTGCCCCCCTCCTTCCCCCTTTTCTGCCCCCCTCCTTCCCCCTTTTCTGCCCCCCTCCTTCCCCCTTTTCTGCCCCCCTCCTTCCCCCTTTTCTGCCCCCCTCCTTCCCCCTTTTCTGCCCCCCTCCTTCCCCCTTTTCTGCCCCCCTCCTTCCCCCTTTTTCTGCCCCCCTCCTTCCCCCTTTTTCTACCCCCCTCCTTCCCCCTTTTTCTACCCCCCTCCTTCCCCCTTTTTCTACCCCCCTCCTTCCCCCTTTTTCTACCCCCCTCCTTCCCCCTTTTTCTACCCCCCTCCTTCCCCCTTTTTCTGCCCCCCTCCTTCCCCCTTTTTCTGCCCCCCTCCTTCCCCCTTTTTCTGCCCCCCTCCTTCCCCCTTTTTCTGCCCCCCTCCTTCCCCCTTTTTCTGCCCCCCTCCTTCCCCCTTTTTCTGCCCCCTCTTTCCCCCTTTTTCTGCCCCCTCTTTCCCTCTTTTTCTGCCCCCTCTTTCCCTCTTTTTCTGCCCCCTCTTTCCCCCTTTTTCTGCCCCCTCTTTCCCTGCCCCCTCTTTCCCTCTTTTTCTGCCCCCTCTTTCCCCCCCTTTTTCTTCCCCCCTTTTTCTTCCCCCCTTTTTCTTCCCCCCTTTTCTGCCCCCCCCTCTTTCCCCCTTTTTCTGCTCCCTCTTTCCCCCTTTTTCTGCCCCCCCCTCTCTTTTTCTGCCCCCTCTTTCCCCCTTTTCTGCCCCCTCTTTCCCCCTTTTCTGCCCCCTCTTTCCCCCTTTTCTGCCCCCTTTTCTCCCTTTTCTGCCCCGTTTTCTCCCTTTTCTGCCCCGTTTTCTCCCTTTTCTGCCCCTCTTTTCTCCCTTTTCTGCCCCCTCTTTTCTCCCTTTTCTGCCCCCTATTTTCTCCCCCCTCTTTTCTCCCTTTTCTGCCCCCTCTTTTCTCCCTTTTCTGCCCCCTCTTTTCTCCCTTTTCTGCCCCCCTCTTTTCTCCCTTTTCTGCCCCCTCTTTTCTCCCTTTTATGCCCCCTCTTTTCTCCCTTTTCTGCCCCCTCTTT